TACGGTTTGCGCGAAAGGCTCCTTGATTTTCGGCCATGCATACGCTTATGTGATTGGAATCTTCAACTATCACCACAAGCGTCGTATCAGCAGAGCTCGTCTTATGTTTACATTGGAAATACGTGTTATTGTTGTTGTAGCTTCACCGCCATGATTATTACAAACAATTTTTTGTTTGAAAAACGATCTTTTTTTCTCAAAATATAAAAGATTTTCCAGACTAGTTTCGAAGAGTTTTGTTTTCTTCCAAAATCGACTGCCAAACATTTTAAAGATTTGCCTTTCTGTTATCTTGATAACATACGTTAAGTTGTAAACATTTGAGCCAATTTCTATTCAAATAATTAGGTTCTTCGTTCATTTGATAATTTGTCATACCCTAGCAAAAAATGTGCATGCAGTCTACGTTGCGTTGATGCATCACTCGCACCAATTTTACACTATTTTAAACGTAAAACAATGTGGCTACTATCACTTATTCACGTCCTCTTTTGGTCATTTTGCTGATTCTCATTAGTCTTCGTTGATCTGTTCATAATGATATTGGTTTTGTGGTGTATTCATTTGATATAAGCATTTTCTACTATTGCGGATGATTTCGATGTGTTTGACGGTGATGAGTGAGAATTGCAGAAAGTCGAACAACCACAATATATGAGAGCACAATAATAAATAAGAAATTGCTATACGAGTGGCAAAGCGACGTATTGTGGCATCTACGCATCGCGAAGAAGATTAATTGCATTCTCAATAAGATATGCAAGTGCAATCATTTTGCAATGAACGCATTTTTTTTTCCTAGGTATACTTTTTTGTGATTATCTCGAACACAAACATATAGCGATAAAGAGAGCGTGCGCAATTAACGCGTTTCGAGATTTTATTTCTGATGATCAAATCGTGGCATTCGAATCAAAGTCCCCATTCGGTTTTTTTTCTATTTCCTTCATTTGTGTGCATCGCTTTCTCTTTCTCTCCTTTTCTCTTTCCCTACCTCACCTTTATTTAAATAATTCGTTTTGAGAATTCAGGTTAAAGCGTCGAAATTTTCTCAAAAACTTTGTATGAGTAATGGGTGATAATTAATTCAACACTAAGCGAATTTATTTAAAAAAAATTAAATCATTCGAACTCAAAGTTAATTAACATTTGAAGAATGTCCAGAAGCAAGATAAGAGAAGAATGTCCGTTGCATCTTTCCTCATTTGAAATGTATTTGTTGAAAAAAAATCTGAGAAATTTATATAATGCGGCTTTGGACAGATGGACAGAATCAGGTAAAAGTATAAATTGTAGAACAACAGGTTGGGTCAATCGGCCATTATTTGAAATCAGCGAAGCGAATTCCAATGTTTACCTGCAATTATACACGTGAAACCAAAACTAGGAGGTCAGAGCCGACTTATTTGAAATGGTGCATGTTGCAAATCAAGTTGATGGACGATATAACGAAGGATTGTTTGGTGGTGCCACAAACTGCCACCAAAAGCTTCTTGCTCGCACAGTTATGATACGGTAAAATTAACCCTTTGACGACCAAGATTGAACGGGTGGGAATTTTGCAATTCTGATTGCAGATTCGTGATCAGCGACCCCAAAAGACCTTAGGAAAATTTTAATTAGAAGAAAAAAAATGTTGGTCGGCCGACCCATTTTTTCAGTCACTTCATAAGGTGACATAAGTTACATGTAAAACTGAAAAATGTGACCAAAAATAGAGTGTTACGGGCAGAGGTTGTCTGAATCTTTTCATCTAATATTCCAAAGTTCTAGCTCTGACCGTTTAAAAAATATAAGATTGTGAATAAATGTGAAAAAAGTTACGATTTTTCAACTTTGATGGCATCTGTGGAGCGAGCTGGTGGAAAATGTCAATTCTTTGGTAGATATATTTATCAAAATCGGTTAACAAATGTGGAAATTATAGGCGAAAAACAAAATGGGACATATGTGTCCCAATAGTTGTCAAAGGGTTAACAACTCAGTTCGTGGTGTGACTAATAACATATGTCTAATTTTTATAGAAATGTCGTTATCTTGCTCAAAATTACTATTCGAACGATGGCTGTTGAGAATGCCTGAACTGTCAAGTAAGAAAGGCTGAATATGAGTGGATATTCTGAATACAGCCCAAAATACACCGAAATTAGTGAGTTGAGGAATTTATTTTATGAAAAAATGATGAATCTCCCTAGCTTACACATGAATTGTGTGTAAGTGTACATTCATTCATTTTAACATTCCCATGCTGTCGATCTTCCATATCCATACGACGCAGAATGCGCCATACATAACAATCTCACCAACATCTCGAGCCCATGGAGACTTGAGACTATTTGTATGTTGCAAAAACTCTCAAAAGAAATTATATTCGTATTACTGGCTTAACTAGCTTACAAAAGAAATTAAAATCATGCTGACACAACGTAATGATCAAACATATATACAAATTTGAATACAGCGCAATAGATAATAACACGTCGTCAAAACAAAACAAATGGAAAATTGGCTCGAGTACCAACGAAATGTGATTGAAATGCACAAATATTTTGACACAATTATGAAACATTTAAATCGATGGCAATTCATCTGTAGAAGAGATTTAGGAAGTCCACTGTTCAAACTGGATGAACATTGCACACAAACATTTAATATTGGATTTATGATTATGTGTACGGAATGAATATTGTGTAACAACCCTGTGATATATCGGATTTTCTGTTGTTCCCAAGTTTTTAGCACAAATCTTTGGTACTAGCGTCTTTGGGCATAAACAGTCAGACGATTTCTCGCTAAATATGGCCTCATGTAGATACGGCATTTGTGAGCACGATTCCTGGCACAATAATGTATACCATGTGTCAAAAATGATGTATCACGTTCAATCTCTTACCAATTTCAGAGAATGAACATTGAACATTCAATTTATATATATACACGTATATGGAACAAATGAAATAATAATGTCTCTCAAAATGCACATTTGAAATTTCGTTATGGCAAAGGCGATCGGAAAACTCCGTCGATTACTACAACCCAAGCGTAGGTTTAGTAGTTTCCCTTTTAAGTGTCAAAAAGCATCAAATCACTCGACAAAAAATTGCATATAGTTTTCGTATTTAACAACATAAAAAATAAAATTGATTTGTGTATTTGTTCGTTTTTTTCTGTTTGAATTTATAACGGAATATTCTCCTCGTGCTTCACCTTTATTTTGTAGATACGGACATCGAATTAGTGTGCTAATTAGATATTGCATAATAAATATGATGGAACAACAGTGCGCTAGGTTGGGACGAAAAAAGCCAGTGAGGCTATTAAAAGAATGAAATATAGCAATTTAAATTGATCGTTTTGATACATACGTATATTACATAAATTGATTGATCGATAATGCGTTCAGTTTGAATATCAACTTTTTTTTCATTTATTTCTTTCCACAACAAAAGCCGTAGCCAGTCGATACCAATAATTTAGTCCAACCAGGGCCGTAACGTGGTCAAAATTATACAGTAATAGAATCTAGTGACATATGCTACTAGTTGGCAAGTTGAGTTACATCTGTTAATAAACGAACAGAAAATAAATGAACTATATTTGTTAGAACCGCGAAATTTGATGTACAGCTGCCCCCCAATAAGGCAAGATTGAAGCTGATCCTCAAACGCATGTATGGACGCTACGTCGACAGTGAGGTTTCGTTGGTCTCAAGATTCGCTAATGTGAACTATTATGCAATACAATCGTTCCATTACTCCACATTTTGCTTTTATTTTTCCAAAAAAAATTCTCTGCTATCACCCTAAGTTGTCCATTTATTGTAACACTTTGAGGTATTCTGCATGCCGTTCAATTCTTCACTTTATGCGTTTTGTCTCTTCATTCGATCTTAATCGATATGACGTATCAAAGATGCTGAATACAACGCTCACAAAAAAGGAAAATACACAAATCATCGAATTAAGTAAAACGGACACCATCTTTTCCACAACAGGCATCTTTATCCAATCGTTCGAGTTTTAAACACCAGTCGTTAGTGTTGATTAATTAAGTGCGATCAAGTTTCTTTGCATCCAAAAATGATTCAATCTACAAATTCGTAAAATGGGAAATCTAAGAGATTTTTTTTTAATTCAAGTACATTCTGTTTGCCATGCATCGAATCGAATGTATAATATAAATCCACATTGTTATACTGGGCAATTGATGGATTTATTTAGATTAATTAAATCTCTTGTGCAGTATGCTCTGTTTTTATTGCATAACATATCGTGATCTCGCTGTCTATTTGCATATTTCCTACCATTTCGTTCGCTGCTCTTCTTTTGGACTTCAAAATAAATAGCTAAGTTTCTCTCTCTCGCTATTTTGCAATGTCATTTTCGGGGCTGATTGCATTCTTCTTTATACGGTTTGTACCTGTGTTCAACACATTGTCATATTGAATTGTCACGATAATATTTTTTACACAATATCAATATAGTTGGATTCATGGTGAAAACCTCACTCATAATCCCTCTGTTTTTCTTTCTATAGTTGTTTGCAAATATTCAACATTTTATTCAAATGACAAGCGTTGAATTGTTCGCAACTGTTTTGTAATATGAAATATGCTCGTTAGCACCCTTATTCCGGTTAAATCATGCCAAACATCATATTGGTTTGAGCATTGTTTGCATTAAGTGCAGCTTTTCCCGTTTCGTTTGTCAAAGATTGTTTGGCGCGGGCATTCAATTCAATTCGCAATAGAATTTGTCGTGATTTGTCGCAGCCAGAGAAGAGAAATGCTCAGAAATGGGATTTGGCGTGTTTTTTTTCTATCGAAAATCAGTATTGTTTGGAATCGTGATGTTAAAATCATCGATACGGATATACTAGTATTTGAAGTTTTTCTCTCTTTGAGGTTGCATTTGCTGGTGGTGATCAAACGATTCGTTTGTACCATAGGTTAGAGCAAGTACTACACTACAGTACAGAAAACATAAAATAATTTAACTTACCCAATGCGATTGCTATCATCAGTAGTTGCCACTGACATAAGAGCATTGTGGCTGCGCTTCCGCATGCGCATCGAAGCTCGATTTTCGTTGGATGGTGTTCGATTGACAATTGGCTGCTCTAGTCGACCATTCATTATCACTTTGTTTTTCGCTTTAATGGCCTGTTGCGTTTGTAGAATGGCCTTCTTCACTTGGAAACCGTGCGGTTGTCGCATACTCGAAAATGGTCTCGGATTAAAGAGATCCGTTGAATTTGGCTTACGCGGCAATAAGGGAGGCGATAAATTCTCAAAATTATTGGCTTTGATAAATGGTTTTCGTGTCGTCGGCTGTCCAGCAAAACTATTTCTTCGATTGGCTGTATTCAGTTTGTTTTCCGGGTCAGATGTTTGCCGCAGAATTTCTGGCGGTGGCGGTGGTAATGGATCATCTTGATGTTCAATGATAAGATTGCATTGATTGTTTGCCAAGGGTGATGGAGGTGGTGGCAAATCGGGACTAGGAACACGAAGCGATGGATTTTTCGGTGGTCTCTCTGGAATCCATTCATCTAGAGATATAATTGGGCCCATGACAACTGCACCGCGTAAATCATTGGAGAAATGTTGTTTGAGAACATTTTGATCACGATATGCCGAATATTCAGCAGCGGATGACGTTCTGTAAGTATACAATTTTTGATTAATTCAATTAGATGCCAGTTGAATATATAAATTCCATGTACGCGCTGATATGTGAATTACACTCACCTTCTAACCGGCATTACATTTACTCTTCTCGGAGGCGGCGGTGGTGGAGGAACTCCGGATTCGTTTATACTTTGCAAATGGTTTTTGTCAACCGGTATGGTCGTGTATGTTTGGTTTGCTGGCGATTTTACGGGGCTGTTTATTCGGTCACCTTGTCGTTGTAACAAACTGACGCTACCATTTGATGCTTGTTTCTGGGCCGATAGTTGTGTTGTAAGGTTGATAATTTGCGACAATTTGTTGGGCAACGAAAGTCGTGTTTGTGGTATCAATTCCATTGATATACTGACTTTATTCGTAGGTAAAGATTGAGGCCGTATCACACTGGTGCCATTTGAACTAATTTCGTTACTGTTTCTAGTTGCACCATATTTCACATTATTCTCGTATGCAATGCTTCCATTCGTTCCATTAACCATATGACTTGAGTTAAGTTTGGCTGTTTGCTGACTCGTACATTTGTCTTTCAAAGGTGATATTTGTTGTTGTTGCTGCTGTTGTTGTCGTTCAAAATATGATTGAACGGCATTCTTTTGAAAGGCTTTTAAAGTCATATTTGGTACACGCGTAGTTTTTGCTGGATCCAAATACGTATATTTTTGGTTATTTGTAATACTCTTATTACTGATATTGCTATTTTGATTCTGTCGCTCAAGCTCGTTTATTCGATCGGCAACCGACTGCCAATTTTGACCGTTTGGTGATCTGCGAAAAAACAATTAGTAAGTTTCTTTTAATTCTCGAACGTTACATCTTTATTTGTACATTTCATAAGAGAACTTACCTGATTGGCGGCTTATCCGATTGTTGATTATTATGGAAGAGCTTCGGTTCGGGCGATGTGTTCGTCTCTCTGTATGTGTCCACGGGAAACAATCTATGATTATTTCGACTAGATTGTTCTGATTCTCCTTCTGTCTTGATATTATTAGATTTGGCTGATAGTATTTGATCATCGCTCATATACAAAGCACTTTCGGAACGGTGGACCCTAACTCTTGAACTATGTGCAATTAAGTGCGGTGCTGAACCTGTTGAAAAAAAAGCATAACAGAGATTTTAGATTGATGCCCGTTGAAAATAACCCCTGAATTTAGACTTCTTATTACTTTTCGCTACTATACGATGAATTCAGTCAAGTAGAGACTTTTTTAAGCTTTTTTTTCTTGTTGTGCTTTAGATTACTAAAAAGAAATGGCAAGACCAAGCCATTAAACAAATTTTACAATGTGATGATATTTGCTGATTTTGTTGTGAAAAAAAATCCATTTTAAATATAAAAAAGTAAATCAATTTCTTCTTGAATCATTGTCGTTATGGGTTTTCCCTAAGACTTCATTTATCGAATGAATTTTCGATGAACATATTCACATGTGTACGCACCTAACACTTAGAAAAATATCCGACCGTCGAATGAAACATAGTGTGTATACGTAATTTATTCACAACAATATCATATATAAAAGGAATATCATTGTACTGATTGCAGATCTATCCATAAACTCTTAAACTTTTTCAAACTCATGGATTCCACAGATAAATTTTGATGGACTTATGCAAATAGGCCAAAAGTAAATCGAATCTCAAAAGAATTGATTGTTTCTGGTCCTAATATAAAATGCCAAGCAACTCGGTAATTTTCATTTAATTCCCAAATGTCTGCGTCGTATGTAAAAATTGATAGAATGCCAGGCGGTAGCGATACTTCGTTATTTTTTGTTTCCATTATTTATGCTATGTTTATCACGTGGTATTTGCATGTATGTATTTTCAGAAGAATGCGCTGATTCCAGTTGCAATTGAATTCGTATCAAGTCTGATGAATTTATTGCAATGTTACATTGCCAATGTGGTAACATTTGTTTTGAAAGGTTCAAGCCTGCATGATACTTTAAGCAAGTTGAGAATGAACAACGCATATAATAAGTAAAATCTTGAATATTTTTGTGTGCGAAAAATAAAAATGATTTGTGGTAAAAAAAATCCTGAATTGCACCCAGCCGACAATGAGCCCGCTTGCACGCATATAATCGCTTGAGAGCTTAACAAAAAGTAACTGTTGTTGTCATTTTCAGTATTTTTCGTATATAAACATGTCTTTTCCAATTATTATGACCAATTCGATTGACAATATGTTTCTTTTATTTATCGAGTGTGAGTAAGTAAATTGTTTTTGTGGTAAATGATGAACTAGTCGAAATTGAACTAATTTCGAAACGTTGATTTTAAACAGTGTATAAATTGGCATATATAAGAATACAGAAATTGATTTGATTCAAATAAAAACGTATGGATTACACTTTTTTGCTGGATTCGATTGATAGTCTCACGTAAAATGACTGTAAAAAGCAAATGACTGGAATTGTCAACACATTGGAATGCTTTCAGTTGAAATTCATGTTGCGCAAAAAAATGCGAAAAATTATTTTAAAATGTTGAGAACTTGATGATGGAGAATGCACATCTTCTTTCAACTTTGATGAAGTTGAAACAAATAACCGCATCAAATGAATGTTTTCGTTCTCACAGTAACGCAGAAGAGTGATAAAAGTAGGGAACAAGGAGAACATAACAATGTATAATATATACCCAAAGTGTAAATTGTTGTGTCGCGAATGGCCACAAAGTGTGAGAAAAATTGGTAAAATGTTTTCAGTCGAAATTCGGAGCCGCTTACTTCAAAATGGTCATTCATGCTGAACGTTGTGGCGGAAAACTAATTTAAGAACATTTAAACAAGAATAATTGGATTGATGTCGACTTCTTCGTTTCAGCAAAGGTTTTATTTATGGACTTTTCTCGAACTCCGTCCGTTGAATAATCGCTGAAACATATTTAGCATATTATTTCTTGCGTTTGTATTTTTAATCGCAACGAATCTCGCGCTCTTGACTGGCGAAATGCAAAAAAAGTAAAATGAAATGAAACGAAAAAGACTCGACCAATCCAAAAATGCTGGCGATGAATTTTATTGTGTAACTTTCAATCTCATTCATCGCTCCGAGAATAATACGTGGAACGAATGCAGCTTTATTGCATACCGGACCAGAATAAAGCAAACAAACAAATCTACAAAAGCGATGCACTGAGAAAGAGAGAGGAAGAGAAAAAGGTAAAATGATCTTATGTCACGATATGTTGTAATTTCATCATCACAATATGACATGGCTCCAGCCGATGAATTCATTGCTACAACGGCAAGAAACAAGAAAAAAAAACCATCAAACTAATAAATGGCTCTCATCGAGCAAAGCCAAGTTCGATTCGAACATATGATGAAAAATCGGTAAAATTTTTCTTTCATGGCGAATTATTCAAGCGAGCCCATTATTCGTCTATCCATTTTTTTACCATTATAAATGCGATGGTGGAGTGCTCAACTATTTATAGTTAGATTGTGTGTGTATTCAAATTAATTGTCGATTACTATTGTTTTGTTCATTTTGGCCCCATTTGATTTGATTCGCGCTGTCCTCTAACAAACGATGTCCATTGTTTCTCTCTCGCATCATATCTGAATACTTGCATATATTTTTACATTTTAATCATGGCGTGTTATATGCGTTGAAATATTGGATCATGATTAACCCTCAACTGCACTTATTTTAAAGACCTGGTTTTTCTGTTTCCTGATTAATTTTGATACGAAAGTAATGGAAATATTCTTTGTTTTTGACGGAAATATGAAAATCATGCATGGGATCGCTTTTTTGCGAGAATTCGGAAAGAAATCGTAAGAAACTTTCGACCCCAGAGAATAAAAAGTATCAAAATCACTAGAATTTACACGAGAAAAATAATTCATTTCGGAAAAATCATTTTCCCTGTTCTTTCGGATCATAAAGACCATTTTGTGTCACAAAATACCGTATGAGCCCACATCTTGGCTACGGTTTTGCAATTTTTGCGATGATTTTGTAGAAAGTCAAAAATTGGACATTAAATTCAATTGAGAGTTAAATAAAAATGTACAATGTATTCAACGTTCGACTTGGAGAAAACATGAAACATTGCATTTTGTATTGATGCCAATATTCTAAGATGTGAGAAATTGGTGACTTCGCCTATTGAGCACATATTTTTCTTACTCAAAAAATTCAAAATGGATACATCTACACAGGTTCATTAATTACTTGGATCTCTTCACTTTCAGTGGAGTTTTCCATAATATGACGAAGTATGACAAATTCCAATCTGGTCGGGCAGCACACTCGAATTGTGGTATAGTACTATACACGGACAGAAGAATATGAGGATAATATGATACGTTTCATCAATGTCAACAAAAGCGATTAAATTTCTTCGTTTACATAAGTGGTCGAATGTCGCATGGTCCTTTCAGTGGAAATATTGTTGCCTCACAAGAGTTCACATAGAAAAAAAAACTCCGTGAATTGACACATGACCGAAGAAATTGTGGGAAATTAATGAGCGTGTTAATTCATGGAGCATAAACGCGCACCAATCACAATTTCATACAGCTCGTAATACTGAAAAAAGCCCTTTTTTCATATGACATATGCAAACTTTGTAAATCAGCATTGCACCACATGGCGATGCATTCAAGCCAACATATTGTACAATCGATTGTTAAGCGCAAGCGAATGGTAAAAAATGTTTTCCAAAATTTGTGTTGAAATGATATGATTAATAATAATACATCGATTGTTGAGCTACAGCTCGACTGTGGGTCCAGTTCCCCTTTTGTGAGCAGTTCGTCTCATCTCTCAAGTTCAGTGCGCAAAAGAGCCACTTCAATTCATTATGACACAATATTTTTTATGTGCATGTCCATGTAAACGCAAAATCTTGTGAAACCAAAACAATGTGCAAACGAATATATTTTTGACTTAACAATAAAGTGCAACAACACATCGCATGGCATGCCATGGTTCATTTGATCGGTATCTCGACCATAGCCTTCTTCGTGATTCCAATCGATCACGAAAAAATCCGAATTCGATCTCACAACTGGAGTCTTTGGAAAACATCGATTACATCGGTATGTAATAGTCAATCTTACGTTTAGATTTGCCCCAGTCCAACAAACAATTTCATGTATTCATTGGCTTATATACTGTAAGATGTCCAAAACAATATCGTGTTATGGTTCAATTGTTGTTCATTTACAATGAAAGAAGATATGAAAATGAAAATTGATGCGAAAACGCACTATAACGAGTTAGTTAACGAATGTTAATGTGTTTAAGTAAACAAAGTCTTGTCTTTCATTAACGAGATGCTATGGAGATTGGAGACGGATAAATTTCATATTTGAATTAAAACAATTGTTTAAAGGTTTATGTTGGAGTGTCTACATCGTCTTTGCAATAAATTAATTACATTTCACTATGTTCATTCGCAATTGAATAAAACATTTGTCGTCTCTTGTCTCTAAACTCCAATTTTACCAAAATATATGGAGAAAATTGACCAAAATATTTTTTAAAAATCGCCCACAAGCTTGAACAAATAAATTGCTCAAACCTTTTTAGCTATATAAATAATTGAATGTTTGTCGATCTGTGTGACTGTTGCGAGGTCACTTTGACTTCTCGCAGCCTGGAGAAGGTTTTTAAAAACTCAATTTTCTAAATGTTTGCTTGACAACATGGTTTTAATAAATATTGGAACTTTCTACTGAGCATTTGATAAGGGAGAATCGATCGCAAAAATTTTTTTAATATTGATCAAATGAAATATCATCACGTAGAGGATTCAGATCTCAAACCACCGTCTAGTTACGCCACTGTTTATTACAACAAATGAGGAGGAAGAAGAAATAACTACAAAGATTAGATCAAAAAGTACCAAACTGAAGCGTTATTGCGATGCATTGGATGTTTGGATAGAATGACAATGTCATGGAAACTACATTGATGCATCTAATTAGTTTGCCTTCGTTGATTAAATCAAATCCTACCGTTATAAATGAGAATGAATGCGCGATAAGAAGGTGAGAGCGCGCATAACGTAGAGAGTTCATGGTAAAATGGCTCATGCCTGAGAGAATTAAAAGAAAAACAGCATA